CTGGATGTGCCCTCCATTAGTACTACCAGCAGCACATTCATTTACCAGCACCACAAACATAACATTAATATATCTGGCTTCAAAATGATCTAGAGCAGGTGGTCTATGCAATGCACTTATAACTGAGTGGAAGTGGAGGTGGATTTTAGCAACAGCTGATGTCACTTCTGAAAGCATCTGGGAAATGTTAAAATCACATTTCCCAAACACCCATTCTAAAAAAAGGGGGGAGGAGTGTGGTTAAAGAGACCAGTCTTAGGTAAGTCTCCATACTCAGCCATCTGTGTTCATCTGTGCTTTGCGCCCTAGGCTGGATCTAGACACATCAAAGAAGCGTTTCAGTTAAATGCGTTGCAAACTTTGTATGAGAAATCGGGTTAGCAAAAATGGAACTCCAGAGCACTATCTGGTGTCACAGTGTTAGAATGCATAAACAACACATATAAAGCATATTTTTTTCAAATGCAGCTGAGTCCCTAGTCTAGCCAAATCTCTCATCCAGCAACCTCTGACCATTTTATCTTAACATGCTAATCTTTTCCCCCAACCTGATTTAGGAGTGTAGTTTTTTACATTGTTCCATGCCTTTACAATATACAGTAGCTTGAACACAAACTGAAATCCGTCACAAGCGGAACATGAGTCAGCAACGTGATGTGGCTGCAAAAAAAGGCTAATGCAATTTTCAGCTAATACGTTAATAGAACCATAGTTTCCAAGTCATGGGAATTAATATTTCCACATTATCCTGCACCAGTGATGCCACTTCTGGAGCAGCATTCAGTTCTGCTTGGAAAATATTTAGAGGACCATAACAAAGATGGTTAGCTGTATGAAAAACAAGTCCAATCGAAAAAAGTTGATGGAACTGGGTATATATACCCTGGAGAAGAGGAGGATGGTATAGACTTCTGAAATACCTGATATATTATAACTTAGAAAAAGGCCAGTAACTGTTCAAGACACCAGAGCTAGACTTAATCTAGCTAGGGCTTAAGTTCCAGGAGGGTAGATATTAGCTGAACATTTGGAGAAACTCGCTAAGAGCAGTTGAATAATGGAACCAATTAATTAGAAGGGTGGACACTCGCTGGAGGCGTTCAAGCAGAAGATAGGCAGCTATTTATTGGGAATGCTCGAGTCCTGGTTATCCTGTATCAAGCAGGGAATTGGTCCAGATTGTGCAAGACCCCCTCCAACTCTATGATTCCACAACTGTGCTTTTTCTATATGGTGGGAACATGGGATGCTAAACATTTACTGAACTAAACAAGGTGACTGTGACAGTTATGATAATAAAAGAAAAAGAAGAGGTCACACCTCATGAAGTAACATAAGTGTCTGGATAGAGTGGGAATTACACACTTTGTATATGTTTTGCACAAAGCATATGTTTGTGAGGCTTGGATGAAACAGCAAACTATGGTTTGCTGAAAACACAGAACAGAAATTCCTATTCTCAGTGTGTAAGGAGAAAAAAGGAGGGGGAAGGTGAGAAGCAAGTGCACAAGCCTGAAGCTCACTGAAGCTTATGAAGCACCACTTTTTGATTTGGTATTCTCTCTGCATAGCCTCAGACTACACAGTTTAGGTTTAGTCTCGTATAACTAGGTAATATTTTTTTAGTGAAGGATTTCTTTACAGCTAACCATTAATAGCTGTATGCTGGGATAAAAACAAAACACACACACCAATGAAAGGGATATTTCCCCCCACCAGCTACTGCCTCAACAGCCCTCTCCATGACCACCACTTTGAATGTAAAAGTCCTTGGCCTCCATTGATTTATCTATCTCCTTTTCCGACACCCTAAGTCCTTCTCTGCCTTTCAAATTGCTTATTTCAGGCTAGACAAGCAACTGTGGTTAAAATGTCACTGTATTTAATGATTTCAATGCTGTGTTCAAACACTTCAGCAGCCTGGCTTCAAAGGGAAGGGAAGTGGCAGAAAGACACAGGATGGGCTGATTCGTACTGGTGGAGCAAGACCCCTCATATCCAAGTAAGATGGTACAGAATCTTCAGGCAATTAGGCAGCTGGCATTGACATCAGATACCAAGCTGCACCATTTAAGAGCTTCCATCTCAAATCGTAGATTAAGATAAAGAAAGTGGGGGGTGGAGAGGACAATTTTCAGTACTTTTAAAAAAATGGCTGGCTTCCTGTGTTTGCAAGATATTTAGTTACATCTATTTAGTTTAACACTATCCACCTTCTGGTAGCAGGGTCTGGAGGTTTGGCAGAACCACATTCTGAGGGATAGTAATGCATTTATTCATTTTACAAATATATAAACTGCTTCAAAGCCAGGATATTTGTACATCTTTGACTCATATGCTGGACTTTTCACCACCAGAACGGAACAATAGGCAGGCATGTTTGTGAAAAAAGATGGATCCATGCAATAACCTGGCTTATACCCATCTATTCCACCCTGTCATGTATCCTGTAGCAGACAAAGCATTCTGTCTGACACGCCAGTGAATATTCTAGCACTCACCAATGCTGGGAACAGGTTTCAATACACATTTCGTTATTATGAAACACCCATCTTATCTTAATTTGCAATCCCTAGTAGAGATAGCAGTGTGGAATCAAATATTCTCATGATTCCAATTTCAGACTCAGCAACCTTCAGTGTGCAACTTTCAATTCATTCCAAACTGGCAGCATCCACTACTGCAGAAAATGTTGGTTGTTTCAGTATGTCAGAATGGGAGACAGGTAAAAAGAAGACGACATGACACACCAGGTTACTTGGTTCATCCATCCTGCTATTTGCTGATCATCTTAATACAAGCAGGAATTTAAAGATCGATCCGTACAACATAAAAGCACAATGTCATAAAGTTGACTGTCCGAGCTTTGTACTTGCTCTTAATAGAGAACCCGAGCCATAATGCTTTCTATTACTTAGAGCTTACTCAGGCAGGCATTCACTGATATGACTTGGTTAATCTTTTCTATAGTCCCAGGAGGGTCTTATTATCACTTATTAAAAGTTGCTAATTTTAACTCAACAAATGTATGTTTAATCTGCTGTTAAGACCCAACTCACTTTGCACATTTATCTATTCAGGTCATATAAAATTCATAAACCTGTGTAAACAGTTTCCTTCCTACAGAAGCCCATAAGAAGTTTCCAATTTTTATCTAAACCCTGCTTGATTAGACCTGCTTGAAAGTGCTCACTGAACAGGATGGCAACTCAAAGTAGAATGAGAAGAATCTGTTGAGGTTCTACAGACTTTTTTTATCAGACACACAGATAGTGTTCACTATCTGGCCAACCCTTACGTATGCTACATGAATAACTATATGCGGTAACCGCCTCTTCAAGGAATATATTGTTTGCTGCCCTCTTCCATGGTAAGATATGTCAAGATGAAATTCACAACCACTGTGATGCAGATGTAACTATAAAATGTATGCCATAGATTCAATGCAAGGGAACGAGCCAAGGTTCCAATATGTACTATGCTGTCAGCTCTCCTTCAGTGGAATATTTGGTGTCATGTGTAGTTACATAAAAGGAACATTATGTCAGCTCCTAACTGTGGTTTAGAGAGAGTCAGGACCAAACAGCAATCAGGATCAGAGGGCTTGATCCATCCAAAGCTATTTTAGTATGTGCCCAACTCTCCCACATTTTCCAACGTTATCAGTGACATTTCCAGACAAGCTCCTGGGCTCTTTACTGAACAATCAGTAGGACATAATGGATCTTTCTAAACTTCTAAAGTTGCCTCATTTTTTCTGGGGTTAAATGCCTCTCTTGCAAAGTTCCTTTAGCATTCAACTGAAACCAGAATATGAACAGGCACAAATATTTTTTAACAATGTAGAAAAAGATGTGAAAACACTAGCTTTAAAAAGCTAGCTACCATAGATAAAAATGAAAGTGAATGAGATTTTACTCTCTGCTAAAGATAAAACTGCTCCAGCGTCTCCAGTGAGAGAGCGTGAGAAAATACTCTGTTTAGTGTCTAGTGATATGGCCCTTCCTTCAGGCATTTTAAGGTGGACTTGCATATTAAAACGACTACAGTTTTAACACTGAACCATCTATTAAAAATTCTATGCATAAGCATCTGTAGCTTCATGTAAACATCTGATTGAAGCATCTCTCTCTTTCGGATGAAAACAGAAGTGTTAATGTTTCCACACTGGGCGCAAATGCTATGTTTATCTACAGAGAAAGTACACAGCAGAAAACTCCAGGGAAAAACAGGGAACAAATAATGCAGCCACCTTGTGCATGTGAATGAAGACTTCTCATGTAAATGTATCATTACCATAGGAGGAAGCACCAAAAGCAGAGAGAGAGAGCGAAACAGTACAAATGATAAAAAGCAGTATAGATAAATGAAGCTTTACTAATTTCCCTGGAATTTTCCACATTATCTTCAACTGCACTGGATCTTCCTTTAGGATAGTCACAAAACACAATCCAGCAGCAACCCTACATTATCTGATCCATGTACCAAGGATTCGGGATCATTCGAAGTTCACAGAGTGGTTTACAATGTGGATGTGAAGGTGTAGTACAACAAAGCAAGAACTGGAATCCTTCTCTCATCTTGTATTAGTTGCAAACTGCAGAAATGCAGGCTTCAAAAAATCCGTCAGATTTATCTTATTAGAATGTGGGATATCCTTTCAAAGCAAAAGAGGCAGAAATCCCCATTGTTTCAAATAAGCCTCTGCAATGCATGGCAGAGGATACCATTAGGTGCTAGTAGTTTGTCTTGAATGGCTTTCATCTTTTTAAACAACTGTTAGAACAATGTAAAGTCCTGTGAACATATAAGAGGCAAAGCTTTTCCAGGGAAAGGCAGAGGAAGCATATTGGACAAATACAACAAGACAGTGTATTGCAATAGGAAGTACCACTCACCCTATTCCTGACTTAGAGGTGCACCGAGTCACTTCAGGGGAAAATGCAGGGTATAATTAATTAATAATAATAATAGGCACACACTCACTTGCCATTCCTTACCTTAGTTTTGTTTAGTGGGGGCTATCAGGCTTGAACAGGAGGCTGTAACACCAGCAACCTACAGCAACATGTGCATTCAGTGACCTGTGGGAAGGAGTAAGAGAATACATTAGAATGCCCCAAAGCCAGAAGAATATTAGGTCTTCCCAGTTCAACATCTTCCTCTTCTAGTTTGCAGAGTTTACTCAAAGTGCAGTTTGCTGGTAACGTTAAACTATGGTTTGATTAGACCAGGAAGTAACATAAAGAACAATGTATAAAGGAGAAGGAAGTGAAGAAGGAAGGAAGTGGATAGTTCTTAATCCTCCAAATCATAGTTTGGAGATTGTCTGAATAAAGTAACAGATACAACACCAGCATGCAATTTGATGAAGCCAATGCCAGGGACCCAAGAGGGTCCACCGCTGTGAACTGAGGGAACCCTTTAAAATATTTTTGCCTGCACATCTCCCAGAAACAACCATTAATAAGAAAACTGTCCTTGGGAGGGGCTGAAAGCAGTGCTATTTTTCTAGAAAAAGAGGTGTCGGAACTGAGTTCCTAAGAGTTCCCCCAGAAAAGAAGTCCTGCCTAAAAGGATGGTTTGCTCACTCACTCTCAGCATTAGGTAGCAAGGGAAAGATGTGAAACACTCTCCCCAGAAATATTCATTTGGTGGTGGGGGAGAGAGTGAATTCAGTGACAGTGGGCACCTTTCCTTTCCATTAAGAAGGAACAATGCCTTTTTTATATAAAACTGTCCATAGTCTGTCACTCTTTTAACTGATGCACCACTGTAATTAGGGTCACTAATGGAACTTTCTGAATAGCAAAGGCAAGCACTCAGAGGAGAAAGTTTATGTTATGTACCATCTATTATATTCTGACTAGTATAGTAGTCAGAAGTTGTAAAAGTGAGTTTTCACAGCCTTTAATAATGGTCAATAAATCACTGCTCACTTCTCTATTTTCATGAGTTTTGTTCCGCCTATTTCCAAAAGTGTGGGTGTTATTCCTATCTTGGATTCTCCCAAGGAAAAAATTCAGACTGGGAGTCTGGTCTACCCAGACCTTTCCTTGTTCCTCTTACCTCTACTTGATTAGAATCAAGGAAGCTCCCACAGTCAGTCATTCACATTTATATTCACATGGGGGGGGGGGTGATGCCACCCTAACCCTCCACAGGGCAAAAAACTGAGTGTGTGTATAAATAATTACTGAACATGCTGTATTATTATTTTTTAAAAAACAAGCAAACAGGTGTCATGGCTTCAAGAAGTAGAAACCAAGCCTACAGCACTCTTAGGCCTGTGACACCTAGTATGATTCAGAATTTATCCTCCAGGTTGTCAGGCATCTGAACTCCAGCTATATGCTATTAGCACAGCAATTCTGTCTATAAATGCAGTCACATGCAAGCTCCCTGTGAAATAATGTGGAGAGGGTAATTGTCACATCATCCAAGCTGTTGAGGCCAATGGGCTGAGTACTAGATAGAGAGGATTTTAGCTCATTTGGATCACTTACTATGTTCTTTGTCTCAGTACCTTGTTGATGAGAAGGAACATTTCTCATTCTAATATGTTTTCTAAGCACTCCTTCCCATGTGTCTCACATGCCTCCTAAAATGATATTCATAGTCATATGAACCGAGTTAGCCAGGCATAGAAGGAAAAATGAGCTTGTGTGTAGTATGGAGGAGGCGAAAAGGAAGAGATTCTGGCTGTATGTATACAAAGAGACAACAATAGAATGGAATGAGACTAACACTTAAATTGAGCTTCTTGTGAGTCATGAGCAGCAATAAAGAAATGTAAAAATAATGACAAACTGGTTCATTTTACATCAACCACAGTGTACATACATCTCAGTAGATCAAATGAAGTTAATACAGCTACAGATACAGCACTAATTTGACAGGCTCTGAGATAAGCCCACTAGGAATCATAATTTCAGCTTTGTGTGTTTTAAAATAGCAGAAGGCTTGCTGTTCAATATGTTTATTTACAGACCTAGTTTACTAGTTCTATGAAAGGTGAAGGCATACATGAGAGGTTTGACCTGACAAACTGTGTGGAACAGACAGCAGGGATACCATTCCAGATTTCAGGGGTGAGGGGGGGAAAATCAGTAGGTGACTAAAAAAAATTTGAAGTCCATGAAGCATGGTGATTGTGGGATGCCTGCCTAATATACATACACAGTTATTTAAAGTCAAGGTAGCTGATCACATATAGCTGCTTCTGAGGAATAACAACAGGTAACCTTCAATATTGGTGAGGGATCAGGTTAAGAAGTCCTGAAGCCACTGCTGATGAGGAACACTCCAGAATCTATTTTGTATAGTTAAGTTTTTACCTTTATCTTCAGTACATTGTATTTTATTTTATTGCTATGGCTAGAGGCTGATGCAAATAAAGATGAACACTACTACCAAAAAATTGTTCAAGAGTATATTCTATCCCTAGAGAAAATGGGGGCCCCCAATTTCTTTACTCACTAACAGGATGAAGAATTTTGAGATGCTATTTGCACACAGCTTCATCACATACCAGTACTTGACAGGTATGCCTGTTTCACATTTGCTAAACAAAGGCTTCATATTTACTGAATGAAGTATTCATGTTTATGGCAGTGAAGTAATTTACTCCAGCAGCTGCTCAGTTGAGACACTGCAGTCAAACCATGATTTTGCTGTCAGGAAAGTGATCATGGCTTACATGCAACGTCTCCCCCTCCACACATGTGAAACTTCCCTCCTTCACTTTCTGGTGTAGAGTAACTACAGTGATCAGAAACCCACTTTAAACTAGTCTTATTCACACATTACACAGAGCATAGCAGGAGCTATTTTGGAGTTACAGTGATTCTGCCGGTGTCCACATCACATTTTCTGGAAATGTCTGAAGAGAAAGCCCAGCATTCAGCCTCCAGCTTACATGCACGATCAGCAGAACTGCACAACTGGGTGTCCCAGTCATGTGGAGGCTGTTACATGCAAGTAACACGTGACTAGGGCTGTGTTCCTTTTTTCCACTTTGTAGTCACACTATGATTGGAAGCAGTCATAATTTTCCTGAGTCTAATATACTGGCAAACCATTGTCACCATGAACTATGCCAGCATCTAACATTTCACAGCCTAAACATGAAGCATTTCATAAACCAGTAATTTGCATACTAGTAAACTCATATGATCCTGTTTCCATGGGGAGAATAATATTTGGGAGACATTTTCCCATTATGACTGATCCCATGATAACACACTTTTTTTTTAGATTTGTGGGTGAGGCTTGCTCAGAGCTTATATGGTTGTATGGAGAATTTGGTGGCATTCAAGTAAAAAAGGGGGGACCTTAAGACTTTTAAAGTTAATGGTCTGTGTTTGACCAGCCAGGTAAATTCCATTGGAAAGCGGCTTCTAGTACTGGGTAGACAAATCTGTGCACATAGTAAGGACAAAGGTACCACACCTTTTACACAACTAAAGCTGAAGGCACTGCAGTCTTCTTAGGAAAAGCACACGTTCTTTAAAACTGTGATATAAATCTCAATAAAGTCTCCTGAGCAAAAGTCAAACACTGTTCTGTGTCCATAAAGGGAGACCTTCTTTAACAAGAGAAGAGGATTATAATTAAGTAGCTAATGAATTATCTTTCTATCAGGCTAGTAATGAGGAATACAGGAAGTCACACACAGACTAGAAGCAGAACAATTTGCAGTGGTCAAGGATAACATCAGGGACAGGCAACAGATTAGCTACCCTTTCTCAAGAGCCTAAAACAGAGTACTTGTGAGAATCATTCACAACAAATGGGAAGTGCTCCCATGTCATAGAGCTTAAGACAGACACAAATAAAACAATATGAAACGCTGGACAGTCTTTGGGGATGCTAATTATTTGTATCCATTTTGGTCTAACTTCAGGTCTGGTTATGATTTGGAAATGGCCTTGACCACCCTGATGGCTGACATATAAAAGCGATTATGCTGCCCTTTTTGTTCTCCTCCTGGTTTTTATGCTTTGTAGACTGCTTAGAAATCATCTTAACTTTAAGAGATATATAAATTAATAAATGGTGGTGGTGGTGATAAAAGACAATGAGAGGACATACCCCACAGGCTGCGACTCAGAGCAACAGAGAATAAGGCTTTCTTCTGAGGAAACTGGTCTAAACATATAAACTATTATTAATATATTTATTTATATCCTACCCTTTTCCCTGACAGGGACTCAAGGCAGCTTACAGCTAGATAAAGTACAACTAATCAATGCAAGGTATCAGATACCAAGACTTGATCAGTTGTCAACAGTCTACATAGTGAAAATGAAAGGAGTTCTAAACACAGCAATTAGGGAACAATATATGTAACTCAATGCCCAGCTGGGACAGAACAGGAATACTTGCCATTTCTCAGTCAATGATATACCACCACAAACCCAAAGAGGCCTCATTCTGTCAAGAAGAGTCAGAGCATGAGCGAGTCTAAGCAATTCCTCAATAAAAATGAGCAACTCCATGAAGAATCTTCTCTTTCTCCCACTCCCCTTTCTCTGCCCAATGTTTCCTTCAGAAATTCTATTAGATATGCATCACGGTCTATATAATTAATTAGAAAGGCTCAAAAGTCCAATCACAAATTCTTTGAAAAGGGCAGATATGAAAGATTCTCATCTTCCAAGCAGAAGGCTCCCAGGAGAATCCATTTTCTTCATGTCACATCAACAAGAGTGTGTATGACAAGCACTTCCAACATTCAATGCAGTGCTTGATACACTTAATTGCAGGACATTAATGCTGACCTGACCAATTAAAACTGTGTTGTGGCTCATGTCTTCCTGAAGCAGATGTTTCATATATTACCTGCATGTTATCAATCAACACAGTTAATACTCCTACCATATGAGATAATTATTTTGCAATTACATTGAAACAAATGATATTTCTTGCAAAAGGTTCCACTAATTATCCATGCTTGCCAAAGGGTAGGGATAATGGGATATTTTTCTTCGATTGCTGCCTCTCATTAATCCTAACACCCTCCTGGCCCCAAAGATGGAATGGAAGAGGGGAGAGATTGACAGCACTTCCAGAGTAATAGAAT